TAAAAACAGTATGCCGACTAAGTTTAAATCATTCTGTAAGTAGGTCATGTAAAAATATAAATTCTATACAGGGGCTGCAAAAGTAGATATACAGTAAGTAATACCATATTTGACGTGATTATTCATATTTTTTAAAATCATTCCACCCCAAGCAAGGCGGGTAACGACTAGCACGCAAGGGTTTACACAGTGTTGGAGCGAGAGCAAAGAAGAAAGAGTGGTAGAGGAAAGGATAAAGAGAAGGTTAGGGGAATAGATCTGGGCATCTGGAGACGTCGATTGACATTACATTTGAATAGTTGGAGATTATAGCTATCAGGAAAACAAGAAATGGGGACGGAGTTCAACAGGCGAGAAGTGCGAGACATGAATCTATTGGAGTAGATGGATACATTTAACAGTTTAACAGTGAAAGGGTGAGAGCGAGATGCCAACCTAGTTGAACGCTTAAATTCATGAAGTCTGGGAACCAGCGAAAGAAGTTCATCGAAGCAGTTACCGTGAAAGTATTTGTAAAAAAGACAGAGGGAGGCAACGGTACGTCTGTGAGAGAGCGACTGCAGGCGAGATGCCAGATCAGAGCCAATTACATTGCATAACCGTCTTTGGATTATATCAAGGGCCTTGAGACAAACAGAAGGGCCTCCAGACCATATATGGCAGCAATACTCTATGCAAGGGCGAATGGTTGATTTGTAGATTTGAAGGATTGACTCCGGCGAGAAAAATTTCCTGACGTGGCACAGGGAGTCAACTTTCCTTGCGATGGACAAAGCTATTGACTCAGTGTATTCGTTCCATCTCAGGTCAGCAGACAATGTGAAATCGAGCAGTCGCAAAGAGATGCTGTCATGGAGCTGACCGTCAGACATTCTAATGGGGAGCAGGGATGGTTCTCTCTGATGAGTAATAGAGAGCAGTTTTGTTTTTGAGGCATTGTTTATATAATTTTTTTTATACTGTATACCTACTTTTGCATAGTACCCCTTCCTTAAATATGTATGGACATGCTTCGAAAGGAGAGCGAAGCTCTTGGAATTAATGGATAGCTTGGAATAATTAGAGAGGATGGAAAAGTAACAAATAAAATATACATTCTATCTGGAATAACTGGGCTAGTTGAGAAAAATTAAAATCTAAGAAGCCAGTCGTACATGTCTATTCCTGACGCGATATATTCAGGTAACATTATATAACATACAGGCTGAAATACCCGGTAAAATTGTCAGGTTCTCCGGACATCGTATGTTCAATTTTTGATAAGTTTATACATAAATGTACACTGTATCCTTAAGTATACTTATGTATAGTATAAAAGAACTGGCAGTTTTTAAATTACCTGATAATTAACCCAGATATCGTATGCATGAAATAAAAAAACAGTAAACGTATATATTGTAGGACTTCTGCTAACAAGGGAACGTTTCTTAACGACTGCTAGATGTCGTTTTATGAAAAAAAGGACAAAAAATGCATGTCTCTTATCACTCTCTTCGGCCACAGGATACCATAATGGCAAGTATTGTTCAATCCACCCTCGAGGGGGGACATTTTAGCTCCTAGCTGAATCACGTACCGTGTCGCAAGAACTCGCTTCAACATCTGTTAAAGAAACAAACCCTCATACGATGACAATAACAATGTATCGTATAATATATACTTCCATTCAATGCAAGAAAATATGTCAGTTCAACAAACGAGACACTGCCCATAAAAACTGATGACTTCTAATTCAATGCTTTGAAACGGTTGGTTGAAGTGTTCAGCGACTGAAAATTGTTGTTGTCTTTGATGTTTTTTTTTCGTTTTTTTTTTTCCTATATAAAGTTTTTTCCAGCATCCTTACATTTTTTTCCTGTTGTAGAAGTAAGACTATTAGGGAGGCCCTGTAGATAAAGCATCTCTATCCTTCTATCAACTTCACCTTATTTAACAGTGGGAAAGGAGTGTTAAGACCGAGCATCGACCCAGTGGTGGTGGTGGGGGGTCAACGGCCAATTCACCGCCCTCACTAAATAGTGGGCTTGGGAGGCAGGCTTTCAATAAAAATTAAGAACAACAGGAGAAAGAAATGGCGAAAACAATTTCAAGTTCAGACAATTTATCAAGCAAGACTAGTCGGCCACTAAATTATGAGAATACTGACGAGACACTTTCGCATCTAACCAAAGACATACAATTTTCCCTTTTTTTCTGATTTTTCTTTCGAAACGGGATTTCTAACTAAACCATCAAATAGGTTAGAATGATTAGGACAAAATGTGTTACTATGGGCAAACATACGGACGAGTAGGGGGAGAAAAAAAGTGCAAAATTAAAAAAAAAATAAAAATACAATAAAATAAAATTTAAAGATTAAAAAAAATAAAGAAATAAAGAAAAATAAAGAATTAAAGAAAATCGAAAAAATATTAAAATGAGTTTTCGGTAGAGCGAAATTATACTCACACAGGGAAGCAAGTGTAGAATGTTTTTCAGGTAAGCTGCTTAGAAAAAAAAAACAAGACTCTGATGGAAACATTTGCTAATGTCGAAAGAAATTGGAAAAAAATGAATATGCATCAATATGGTAATTTTCTTTCTTCTTTTAATAAGTATACTAAGAAACTTGTCCGCAATTACGAAAGGATTCTATTATAAGTAGACAAAACTCGTCTAAATTATTTAGTGAGACATGTAAATGAAATCCTGCTACCAAAATATACGCAATTTAAATTGCATTATACAGCAGCTTGCCAGAATATCAATATATGCCACTATAAAATCACACAAACAAAACTATCGTCTCTTTATTATTATATCTCACATTTCCACACTTTAGCAAAAACCATAAACCAACTTATCATACAATACATTCCCAGTAAATATAGCATAAAATTAACTCTTCAAGTAATTCAAATTTAAAAAAAAAGAAATAACCTAATAATGAAACCATAGCCTTAGTTGACGGTGAATATTTATTCACTAATGACCCAGTTAATTAAATTATTGATATTAATATAAGAAACATATACAATAATACGCATTTACCTATAGTAGATAGTTAAAAATAACTAGGTTTGAACCAATAGTTTTAAATAGTTTTTCTTTTTAACAAATATATCGATATTACAATAATTTAGTTACCTCCCTTGACGTTCGCACGTGTGTCGACATGATAAAATTAAAAAAAAAACCTGTAAGGTGCATAACCTTAGCTTTTTTGACTTCATAGGTAAAGATTTAATTTTTAGATGAACACAATTTTTTTTTCTGAAAAAAATGATTAACACAACATTTTTTTTTTGTCTTAAAGAAGTCAAAAAACCTGATGACGACATTAATTGTGCTAATAACGGAAGTACTCGTAATAAAATGAAGATGCATCAACAAAACTCATCTAAATTATTAAAAGAAACACGTCTTAATCAAAACATGCTGCCAATATATATATATATATATATATATATATATATATATATATATATATATATATATATATAGCACCTCGAGGTGGTTTAATTGTTAGCAAACTTCAACAATTACGACTGAGTAGTGAGTTCGACCCAAAACATGCTGCCAATATGCGGCCTTGTGCCACATCAATGCTACGCATGGAAAATCACTATATATATATATATATATATATATATATATATATATATATATATATATATATAATCAAGAAGAAAACCTTAAAGATACATTTCGGTTATAATTTATTTCGGGAATATCTATATTTTCATCTTTTCAGACCAAAATCTTTTAGTAAATGGAGACAGTTCCCAGATTGATATACTAGATTGACAGGGATAAGGCAAGAGAAAAGAGAAAAAGAAGGAGAGGAAGAAGAAAGTCAAGGTATTTTAAAAATGAGATAGAGAGAGAGGGGTAAAGAATGAAAAAGGAAGGAGGAAGTGAGGAATGCATAGTAATAAGCCCAAACTAGACTGACCCAGCCAAGATTTTTTTTCGAAAGTGTGGAACATTGTACATCGAGTTATATAGCAAACTAGCAGCATGGCCCGGCGTTGCCCGTGCTTGATTCAAAAATCGTACGACTCATACAGCAATCGCTATCACTTGACTTCAAATATTTTTGCCCTTCCTTGCCTTTAAAGGAGTGCCCTTTGCCGTGCTGATGTTGCACACACTGCGAATTTTTTCTAAGCTCTATACTAAACATTAAATCTGTTACGAAAAAAAGAACTAAACAAAATGAACACAAAACGATCAGCTTTTAAAAAGGACTCGTAACTGGAAAAACCGAATGAAAAAAGAATGTTAACAACAACTACTTTTTCACACCCAACCCAGTTCTGCGGAATCAGAATCAACGTTGAGTTTAAGCAAGCGAATGAGCCAATTGGAGTAAAGTGCCATGCAGATTTAAATTTTTCCCACTTGTGCCGAACGCAGCTATCGATTTTTTTGCATGCTAGCATGCAAGTTAACATTCGTGTCAGTCAGCTGTTGGCTCTCACGCTGGCCAATAGAATCTTCTTGCCTAATCGTTGCAGCCAGTTATAGGCTCTCACTGTGGCCAGTAGGAAATGGCCACAAACTACATGAAAACTGTCGTAGAAGTATGAAAAAATCGATTATTTCCACTATCGATAGGAGTTTGGAAATGCAAAGTCGGTCTTGGACTTTCCGCTAACTTGGAGCATGTGCATGTAAATTTTGATTCAAATCCATTGAAAATTGCAGCCATGCATTCGTTACACACACACACACACACACACATACACACACACACACACACATCCTACCTTTTATAGATATTGATTGGCTCATATAGCCTGTCATTTTAGACAGGAAAATCGACACAATTCCAAGTTAATTAGTCTAATAAAAGAGCCCTTAATACAAATAATAAATAAGATTAAAAAAATCTAAATTCATGTTGTTTTACACTGGAATAAATTAAACTAATATTATTCGAATTTGAAATATTTGGTCGAAATTACCGGATTGAGTTATTTGTAGGATACGATTAAGCACGCATTATCTATCTATCTATGTATCTATCTATCTATAAGTATGTTTCTCTTGCCCTCTCTCTCTTTCTATATGTCTATATATCGAAGTATATTCATATTTATCGCAGCCTCTTTACATCTATCTATCTATCTATCTATCTATCTATCTATCTATCTATCTATCTATCTATCAGTGTGTTTCTCTCTTCCAACTCTCTCTCTTTCTATTTATGTATACATCTAAGTGCATTCATATAGATCATAGCTTGTTCGAATCTATCTATCTATCTATCTATCTATCTATCTATCTATCTATCTATCTGTGTGTTTCTCTCTCCCACCTCTGTCTCTCTCTCTTTCTATTTATGTATACTTCTACGTGCATTCATATAGATCATAGCTTGTTTGAATCTATCTATCTATCTATCTATCTATCTATCTATCTATCTATCTATCTATCTATCTATCTATCTATCAGTATGTTTCTCTCTCCCAAGTCTCTCTCTTTCTATTTATGTATACATCTAAGTGCATTCATATAGATCACAGCCTGTTTACATCTATCTATCTATCTATCTATCTATCTATCTATCTATCTATCTATCTATCTATCTATCTGA